CACACAGCACTTTCTTGGCGAGCTTTTATTTTTTTCTGAATGTTGGTCACTGGAGCAGACTGAGTCCTCGAGCACTCGCTGACCATCCTTGGCACTGAATACGACAGCGCTGGAGTCAGTGCGCTGCGACCTTCTCGCCTCAGCTGTGACAAGCTCAGCCATCTCCTGAGTTCACTGCCATTTCTTCTGCCTCACCTCAACCAAGTAGCTGGGAACTGGGCCACCAGGCGCCGCCTTCGAACACACGAGGCCTGACGACTAATTTTTTTTTTCTGTTTTTTACTTGAGTATGTAACGGGTTTCATCCATCGTGACGTTTCCAGGATGGTTACTCCTCGGACCTCCATGGTATCTGCGAACACCGCGTCGTTGACCCTTTCATTCAGTCGACAGTGGCTGGGATTTTCATCGTCAGCCAGCCACCGCGCCCAGAGCCCTGGATATATTTTCTTATTTTTTTTATTCACTCAGAGACGTGGGGTACTACTCCGACACACGTGGTCTCATACCTTGGTGGACTCAACCCGGATCCGTTCCAGTCTTGGCCCTCCCCAAAGTGCAGGACTACAAAGCGCTGAGCCACTGGCCACCTGGCCCAGATATACTCTGTTATTCTTAAATATATTAAAATTTAACTTTCCACCTGTTTTTTTCTTTTTTACTCTTTTCGGTTCTTGTTGGTTTTGTTTTGTTCTCACTTGTTTTGTTCGAGATGGAGTGTTACCCTCTTTGCGTCGCCCCAGAGCTCGAGTGTAATGGCAAAAACAATCTCGGCCATCTCCAACCTCCGCCTCCTTTCAGGTTTTCAAGTGATTCCATGACCACAGTCCCCAAGTACTTGGGATTACAAGCATTGCCACCCACATTCACTCCAGTGGTGCTTTTACCATCATATTTTATATTTTATAGAGATATCTGGGTTTCTCCCATTGTTGTTTCAGGCTGTCTGGTCAAAATTTCCTGACCTCAGGTGGATTGCCACCATTTTCTCTACACTCCAATATGGCACTCTCAACGCAATTAGTGAGCTCGCGTCTGTGGATTTATCATCTGAATAGAGCAGACGTCCACTCATTTGCCCATGGTGCTGATGCTTTTTTTACAAAATTTTTGAGACTATTCTCTCTTCTACACAGGCTCGTCCCAGCAGCATGTGCAGGTGCGACAGATGCCCCACGTACTGCCTCACATACAATAACCTCCCCCCGTACACCATCTCCAGACTGTTTACGAAGCCGATCTCGCCTCTGTGCCTCCCTACAGGTCCCGTGAGTATGCCCAAGCCGATACTAGGTATGCCAATGCACACCAACTTATATCTGTGCTAATTGTTTGTATTTTGTAGTCAGAGACTTGGGTTTCCATCCTGGGATGGGTATTGGTCCTAGGCTAGGTTATCTAAAACTTCACTGTGCCTCAAAGTGATCTGCCTATATTAGTGCTGGCCTCCGATTAATTTTCTGTGAATTTGGTCCACAGGAAGAACGTATGGCCATCCATATGGTGTCCTGTGACATACTCTGTTTCTTTTTTGTCTTCATTGTAGCCCTTGCGGCTCTGGCCGCCTTCTTTTAGAGAAATAGAATGTAGAAACGTACATCTTCCGACACGTATAAATAACGTTGCGATACGCAATACACAATGGCACAGTAATGACATCAACATCCGTTGTATTACACTCATGCCTATTTTTCATTCTAGCGAAGCCGATAGAGCGTGAAGCAATTTATCCATCTTGAGGTTCATAGGTAGTTTCTGAAGCCTAATTAGCCTGACCTAACATGGGAAACCCTTCTTGCTTTATATAAATAATACAAATATATTAGCTGGGCATGGTAAGCATTTGATATGTTTGTGTTATGCAACTGCCTCTACAACACTCGCTTCTCCCCAGCCCATGCAGTAGGCGGAGACTCACAGGAGACATGTTATTATTCGTCCCAATAAGTTTATTTCTAGATGCAAAATTTAAATTATTACCTGATACTTGGAGCTGCCCTATATGTGTTAATGCGGCCTCTCTATGTAATCATTTACTCAATTTGAGTACATCCCAGCCTGGACTAACAAAGTTTTTAGTATGTCGAAAATTGTCTCAAAAAAAAAAAAAATTGCATAGGTGGCTTCACCATTTGTAGCTCCAATTATATTTTCTCGTTGGACAGTGTTTGGGATACATGCTCATGTTATTTTAATTTTTAAATTTTTGTTCGTTTTTTTTAATTTTTTAATTTTTTTTATCTTTTAAACATTTTTGTAGAGACCAGAGGGTTTCCTGCGTTGCCCAGACTGGTCTTGAACTTCCTGGTCGTCAAAGTGATCCTCACCACTTCAGTCTTTCCCAAGTCGCTGGAATTACAGGCAATAAGCCACTGTGCCCTGTCCATGCTATTTTTAAATTGAGATATAATTCACAAACCACAAAATTCACGCCGGTTTTAAAACGTGTACAATTTAGCAGTATTTCAGTAATTTCACAAATTTGTGCAACCATCACAACTAACATCCAGAACATGTTCCATCGACACAACCAACGAGCTCCCATTTCCCATGTAGTAGTTACCCCACGCAATTTGACCATCTATTGTTGAGTAAAGAAAAAGCAAAGTTGCAGCGACAGTACTTACAGCAGCACGTGAGGTTTCACTTTAAAACGAATATACGATGGGCCAGGCATGGCTGGGCACACTCTTCGGTAATCCCGCAACTTTGGGGAGGCCTGAAGGCCAGAGATCTCTTGGACCCAGGATGTTCCAAAACCCTGGGCACATAGTGAGATCTTGGCTCATAAAATAGACTTTGTTTTATTAACCTGAAAACATGGTGGTAACACCTGTGCGTCCTGGCTATGTGCGAACGGCTGAAGGTCGGGAGAAAAAAAAAATCACTTGAGCCCCAGGAGGTTGAGGCTGCATTGAAGCTACGATTGTGTCACTGCATTCCAGCCTGAACGAAAAAATGAACCGCTGTTCTAAAAAAAAAAAAAAAAACCCCTAAAAAAACAAAAAACTTTCTGTTCAACATAAATATTTTAAAAATTATGAGAAGGCCGGGCACGGTGGGCTCACAACCTGTCCATTCCAGCACTTTGGGAGGGGCTGAGGCAGGCGGGATCAACAAGGTCAAGAGATAGAGACATTCCCTCGGCCAACGTGCGTTGAAAACTGTCCTCTACTAGAAAAAATACAAAAAGTAGATGGGGTGTGGTGGTGCGCCTGTAGTCACTACTCCGCTAGGCTGAGGCAGGACAGACCAGGGGTGCTTGAACTCAGGAGGCGGCGTTGCAGTGAGCTGAGATTGTGTCACTGGCACTCCCAGCCCTATATACTGGAGAAAAATAAAAAGAAGAAAAGAAAAACCATATATAGTATATATACTATAAATATACATATAAAAATAACCGAGGTTTTCCACTAAAGGAGTTAAAAAATATCTTTTATAATATATGAAAGTATATAGTAAAAATATTATATATATACTGGAAAGAATTTTATGTTTTTGTTTTTTTTTTTTTTTTTTTTTTTTTTTTTTGAGAGGGAGTTTTGCTCTTGTTGCCCAGGCTGGAGTGCAATGGCTGATCTCAGCTCACTGCAACCTCCACCTCCCAGGCTCAAGCGATTCTCCTGCCTCAGCCTCCCAAGTAGCTGGGATTACACGCCCGGCTAATTTTTGTATTTTTAGGAGACAGGGTTTCGCCATGTTGGTCAGGCTGGTCTCGAACTCCAGACCTCAGGTGATCCACCCTCCTCGGCCTCCCAATAGTGCTGGGATTACAGGCGTGAGCCACCACGCCTGGTGAAATAGATTTTTTTTTTTTTTTTTAACATGTCTCACTCTGTCGCCCAGGCTGGAGTGCAGTGGCATGATCAAGCCTCCCTGCAGCCTCAGTCTTCCCCGTCCCCCATCCCCATCCCAAGCAATCCTCCTTCCTCAGCCTCCCAGAATGCTGGGACTACTGGCGCAAGCCAATGCTCTGCCTAGACAGATACAGATATATATTTGTAAAGGCATTTTAAATGTCCGGAATGATTTATACCAAACTGTTAATGCTGGTTTTTCTAAGAAAACGAGAATTGGGATGGGAGAGAAAAGAGAAAGGGGTGCATAGCCTTTATTTTAAATACTCCTGTACTGCTTTTGTGGTTTAAAAAGAGAATGGGTTGAATTTCTGGCCGTAAATAACTCCTAGTGAACTCGGGTAAATAACTTTTTCACAGCACCGTCGACAGATGCCTCCAGCCGGAAGGCAGAGGGTCTCGTTTTAGATCTGCTTTTCACTTGGTGCTTTTAAAATAGAAAGCGCAGACAGAGGCGTGGTGTTTTCGCTCCGAGCTGCAGCAGCGCGGCGCGGCCTCAGGACTCCCCGCACAGCCGCAGCCTGCGGCGCCGCTCGGCTAGGGCACCGCGCTCGGAGGTAGCCGGGGCAGGGGCGGTCCCGGGGTCCGCCTCTCCCAGGGCCGGCCTGGCAAAGGGCGGCGCCTCGGGACCCGGCGGATGCTGGTGTACCTGGGTGGGGAGGGAAAGCGAGCCTGGGCCTCCGGGGCCCGGTGTCGCCCGGAGCAGGGAGCAGGGGCGACCCGCTGCGCATCTCTGGGTGGCGTCCCGCCGCCACAGTTCAGGAAGGGGGGAATCCCCGGGCCCCCCATTCCGGGAGCTAGAGGATGCTCCGGGGAAGCCGAGGATCCGGAGCCCGGACCCCCAACCGCGAGAACCCTCTCCTCCAACTCCACAGCCCCGTCCCCTACCTCGGCCCCAGGCTCGGGGGTCAGGAAGAGCGCGAGCTCCCGCGCTCCGCTGCGCACGGGCTCCGGCCGATCGGCGTTCACGAGCAGCATCAGGAGGGCGGCGGGGTCGGGTTGGCGGAGGCTGCCTGGGAGCCCGTGGTTGCGCCCGGGCCTCGGAGCCCCGCCCCCGGTCCGCTGCATGCTCCGCGGCCCGCCTGGCGGAGGCGGGGCAGGTGCGCTCCCGGCGGTCGCGGCTCTCAGCTCCAGGAGCGCCGGGCCGAGCGGGCAGCGCCACCCAGTGGCGAGCGACGCGCGCTGCGTCCGCCCCCGCAGCACCTGGTCACCAGTGCTTTGCAAACTCGCTTGCAGATGGCAGTCACCTGGAGCTCTTTTAGAATTTCCCAAGCCCGGACCACACCGTATCTGGGTTGGGACCTGGGTATCAGGATCTTTTGATGTTTGGTAGGTGGTTCCAATCAGATTGTTGACCGAAAGCTAAATTTGAGAGCTATTGGGGCAAGCCACCCCTCCTCTTCGGAATCCCGGTAGAGTACGGGCTCCCGGCCCCCGCGGTACAATAGAATCCCCGGGGAGCTTTTAAAAGCCCGGAAGCCAGTCCTCGCACCAGGCCGATTAAATCGGAATCCTTCGGAGTGGGGCTTAGGCATCGGTAGTTTCTAAAGCTCCCCGGGTGATTCTAACGGGCGTCCGGGTTAGAGAGGCGCTATCTTAGAGGAAGCCCAAAGCCGCCCGCTCCCCTCCCGTTCCCATCCTGCTAAAGCATCTAGTTTGCATCGGGCGGAGGGTCCTGGAGTTGAGGGAAGGCCGAGTGTGACGGTCCTCGTCTTCCTCTTCGGTGCAGCTTTTAAATAAGCTTCACCAGGAAACTATTGAGCGCACTAAATTTGACAGCCGCCCCCCACTCCCTCCACGCTCTCGGAGGCTGGCCTAGATAGACAGACCCTTTACAGCCCTGGGGCTGAAGAGAGCGAGGTGCGCCCCATCCCCCACCCCAGCAGTGCTAATGAGGAAAGTACTAAAAGGCAAATAGGTACAAGAAAGGTCTGAAGTTTAAATTTTTCGTTTGATGACTTTGATTTTTATTTTTAATTATTATTATTATTTTTTTTTGGAGACGGACTCGCTCTGTCCCCCAGGCTGGAGTGCGCGATTTCGGCTCACTGCAACCTCCACCTCCTGGGTTCAAGCAATTCTCCCCCTCCCTCAGCCTTCCGAGTAGCTGGGATTACAGGCCCATGTCACTATGTCTGGCTAATTTTTGTATTTTTTAGTAGAGACGGGGTTTCGCCATGTTGGCCAGGCTGGTCTCGAACTCCTGACCTCAGGTGACCCACCTGCCTCGGCCTCCCAAAGTGCTGGGATTACAGACGTGAGCCACCACCCCTGGACTGCTGACTTTTCTTTAAATGTTAAATCGCCTTAAAAAAAAAAAAAAAAAAAAAAGGAAAAAGAAAAAAAAAATTAAAATTGCAGGGTGTGGTGGTGCGCAACTGTAGTCCTAGCTAGTGGGGAGGCAGATGCAGGAGGATTGTTTGAGGCCAGGAGTTCTTGGATACAGCGAGCTCCGATCGCACCACTACACTCCAGCCTGCGTGACACAGTGAAAGCTTGTCTTTTGTTTTTTTCAAAAAAAAGAGGGGGCTGGTATCAAGGGTGCAAATAAATACATAGGACGTCCCACACCTTCCTCTCCATTAAGTCTGAATTTATATTGTAGTTGGCCACCCTAGGTAGGGGCCTAAACAACACATATGTGGTCTGCCTTTTGTGTAGTACATCACAATTCCCACTTCCAAATCTGCCCACTGCTAATTTCTCCCTATCCAAATATCCAGGCCTTCAGGCCAGTCATTTTCTGGAAAATTCTTGGCAAAGACTTGGGCCCCAAGTGCTTAAGGGTTTTATAGGAACTCACTGAGCCCACACTTGGCCATTTGTCATTGTCATGATTTCCCTGATGCTCTGAGCCCTCCTCGCCATCCCCTGGGAGCTGGTCTTAGACCCTCTTCGCTCTTGCCTGCTGGCTGGGCATCTCCCACAAAGAGTCCAGGACTGGCCTCAGATCACCAAATTGACCTGAGCACAGCAAACTTCTCCTGGTGGATAAATCTCAGAAACATAAGGCTAAGGAAGGAAAGCCGTGTTGCAGAAGGCTCTGTAGGGCACTGTGCCATTAGCACAGTTTTTAAAACATGCAGAACCACACTATAGATTGTTTATGGACACCGACAGATGGAGCAAAAGTACAAAGCTGTGCATGGGAACGATGCACCCCAGAGTAAATGATTTTAACACAAGAGGACTGGTTTTTAAACAATCTCCCTAGCCTCTCAGGGTGCTGGCTCCTGCCGGGTCCTGCCCTCGCTGCTCCTGCCTAGGTCCGCAGA